ACAAAGTTTTGCTCTTGTTGCCCAGGCTGGAGTGCAATGGCTCGATCTCAGCTCACTGCAACCTCTGCCCCGTCCCGGGTTTAAGCAATTCTTCTGCCTCAGCCTCCAGAGTAGCTGGGATTACAGGCATGCGCCACCATGTCCGGCTGATTTTTTTATTTTTTATTTTTAGTAGAGACGGGATTTCTCCATGTTGGTCAGGCTGATCTCAAACTCCCGACCTCAAGTGATCAGCCCACCTCGGCCTCCCAAAGTGCTGGGATTACAGGCATAAGCCACCTTGCCTGGCCAATAAGGATGTTTTAAAAAGGAGGCAAGTCATTTGCAACAACATGGATGGAACTGGAGGAAACTATAAGTAAAAGCCAGGCACAGAAAGACAGACTTCTCACATTCTCACTTATTTGTGGGAGCTAAAAATTAAAACAATTGAACTCATAGAGATAGAGTAGAATGATGGTGACCAGAGGCTGGGAAGGGTAGTGGAGGGGGGAGTGGGTATGGTTAATGGGTACAAAAATATAGCTTTTATTTATTTTATTTTTTTTGAGACAGAGTCTCACTCTATCGCCCAGGCTGGAGTGCAGTGGTGTGGTTTCGGCTCACTGTAGCCTCCGCCTCCCGGGTTCCAGCGATTCTCCTGCCTCAGCCTCCAGTGTAGCTGGGATTATAGGCGCCTACCACCACGTCTGGCTAATTTGTGTATTTTTAGTAGAGACAGGGTTTCACCATGTTGGCCAGGCTGGTCTCAAACTCCTGATCTCAGGTGATTCACCCTCCTCAACCTCCCAAAGTGCTGGATTATGGTTGTGAACCACTGCGTTCAGCCAAAAATATAGTTACATAGAATGAATAAGATCTAGCATTTGATAGATCTTATTAACAATAGGGTTACTACAGTCAACGATAATTTATTGTACATTTAGAAATAAAAGAGTATAAACTGGATTGTTTGTAATGCAAAGAAAATATAAACCTTTGAGGCAATGGATACTCCCCACCCTCACAAAATAGAACAGGTGCATTTTATGGGTTTAAAAAAAAAAGAGGCAGGACCAAGTGCACAGAAAGACCTCCTCAGCCCCATCTCCACGGGGAGGAAGCTAAGAAACTCACTCTGATTGAAAACCTTCTAAGAACCCTAGGAAGGAGGGATTATCAGTCTCGTGTTACTGACTGAGGAGGAAACTGAGGCTCAAGGAGACCGAGTAACTAACCCAAGGTCACAAAGTGAGTTAAGCGACTATGCTTTTATTTATTTATTTTTGAGCCGTGGTATTGCCCTGTCGCCCATGTTGGAGGGTTGGAATGCATGGCTCGCTGCAACCTCTGCCTTCTGGGTTCAAGCGATTCTCATGCCTCAGCCTCCTGAGTAGCTGGGATTACAGGTGTGAGCCACCATGCCTGGCTTATTTTTGTATTTTTAGTATAGACGGGGTTTAGTCATGTTGGCCATGCCATGACTAGGTCTCAAACTCCTGACCTCAAGTCAACTGCCCTACTGGGCTTCCCAAAGTGCTGGTATTACAAGCGTGAGCCACTGCACCTGACCAAGTGGCTGTGCTTTCTGCTACAGCACAATGATACCCACTAAGCCCTACACCTGCTGAGATTCTGCCTAACATAAACAGTGTCTCTTCTACGAAGCCCACCCTAATTGCGCCCAGGACATTTCCTGCCTAGTAGTCCCCCATTGTAGGCTAGGTTGCCAGGAGGCAGATTTCGAGATGGAGACAAGTGTGCAGATGTTTATTAGGGGATATTCTTGAGAATACCTGTTTTGGGGAAGGAAGAAAGGGAAGCAGGATTGGGCAGCGGGATAACTTGGCTGTGATGTTGTCACAACAGTGTCCTCAATGAAGCCCACAGAGACTGATAAAGTTGGGTTTGACTTTCAGAGCTAGGGCAAGAGGGCAAGGCCTTTAAGTCCCCCCAGTGTAGATGGATGTTGGATATGGGCTGCCCTGAGGGGCTAGCCTTTCCCAGAAAGTGCTGCAAGCGGAAGTCATCATCCAGTGGTAGCAGCTGGGGAGAGGGTTGATGGGTTCCCCAGCCAGGAAGGGGGATCTTGGTGGCTCATCATAGTGGCCACTCTGTGCCCAACATAATTGCTGCACATTCATGTTCATCCCAGCCTCCAACATCCATTTTCATTCAGCCCCTGGGCCTGGGGTGGGGGCATTGGCCAGCAACCCTGGGTTTGACATCACATATTAATCCCATGGCCAGAATCATTTTAGCCTGAGGACCTAAGGAGGCTCCAAGCCAAGCTCCCCTTGGAATTTTCCGCACCTGCCTTTGCCCATGCAGCAGCTTCCTGACGCTGGCTTCTGTGTCTAAGCCCAGGAATGCTGCCAAAGTAGCCATATCGCAGCCAAGAAAGAGAGTGGGGGCCGGGTGTGGTGGCTCACACCTGTAATCCAAGCACTTTGGAGGCCAAGGCGGGCGGATCACCTGAGGTCAGGAGTTCAAGATCAGCCCGACCAACAAGATGAAAAAAAAAAAAGACAGAGTGGGAATGAGAGCTTTTGTCATGCAATTCATAGCGTGGCAGGCTCTGGGTGAGCATACCGTGGCCACTATCTCATTCATGGCCACCACCTCCCTGCAAGGCGAGATCTTATACAAGCCCCATTGACAGATAAGGACATTGAGGCTCAAGGACTTGCATATCTGGTCTCTCAGACCTTTTTTTCTTCTTTTCTTTCTTTTTTTTTTTTTTTTTTTTTTTTTTTTTTTTTTTTTTTTTTTTGAGACAGAGTCTTGCTGTCACCCAGGCTGGAGTGCAGTGGTGTAATCTCAGCTCACTGCAATCTCTGCCTTCTGGGTTCAAGCGATTCTCTGCTGAAGACCCCAAGAATGTGGGGCGTGACCAACTCAATATACCTCTGGCGGCTATAGGAGTAAACAGCAAACTCCTCATGAAAGCAGGATGTCAAACTGACAAACTGTGTATGGCTAGAAGGAATGTTGAGGGCAGTCACGCGCCAGGTCCCGTCCTCCTTGAGGCTATCTACCTGAACATCTGGAACCTGCTGGACCTATGATAAATCAAGCAGCTGACCACGAAGGGCTGTAAAAGCTCAGGGCCTTTGTTCACTAGAAGCAAAGAGTCCCCTGACCCCTTCTTTCAAACAGAACCTTTTGTCTTTTTCTTAGTCCTCCTTGGTTCATGAGATAACTAAGGCAATTCTGCCTCAGCCTCCCGAGTAGTTGTGCTTACTGGCATGTACCACCACACCTGGCTAATTTTTGTATTTTTAGGAGAGACGGGGTTTCACCATGTCGGCTAGACTGGTCTCAAACTCCTGACCTCAGGTGATCTGCCCAACAAGCGTGACCCACCCCACCCAGCCATCAGACCTTTCTTTTCTGTAGAAAGCATTGACTCCAAAATCCAGGAAGCATGACTGTATCAAGATACTGTTTATATGAGCCCTTCTGTCATTTGTCCTCCAGAGAGATACTAACATTCCCATCCCATCATGTGGGCTGAGGCTGGGACTGCTTTAACCCTTTCTCTCCTAGAGTCAGCACTGGCATGGCCCTGGGTGCTGCTTCCTGCTGGGGGACCTGGGGATTTGGGTCTTGTGGATGAGCCGGACACCCCCCCAGCCTTCTTCTAGCTTAATGTCCCCCTGCTGCAGGGCCTGCTGGATAGCATCAGCGAGGGTGTCAAAGGCCAGGTCCACGTTGCAGTTGTTTTTAGCTGAGGTCTCCACGAAGGCCATGCCCAGGGAGGCAGCCAGCTCCTTGGCCTCCTGGGCTGAGACACAACGGGTGCTCTGCAGGTCACTCTTGTGGCCAACCAGCAGGAAGATCACCTTGTCCGGGCCCTGAGTGGCCATGACCTCCTTGTGCCAGTCTTGGATGTGTTCAAAGGACTTCCTGTTTGTCACATCAAAGACCAGCAGGACACCCACCACGTTCCGGTAAAAGGACCTGGGGAGGCACCTGGGGAGGCAGGGAGGCAGGAGGTAAGCTGGGAGAGGCTGTCACCTTCAAGACACCCCTAGAGGCAGGACCTCCTCCCCCTGGGAAACACAGAATGCCTCACACCCCAACAGGGCCCACTTCACCCGGCCCCTGTGCTTCTCTGCCTCGGTGTCTGTGTCTCTCCTAAAAGTCTGGGTGCTCCCCAGTTAGAGGGCAAGCATGACCCGAGTCCCTCATGCCTGGTGGAGGCCTGGTGCTGCCCTGGCCTCGGTCTTCATTTCTCTTCCTGGCAAACTGCTGATCCTTCAGAGTCAACACAAACCTCTGTCCCTTCAACATCCTCCCGGCACTTACCGCCCTGCGCCCTTGAGCTCTCAGCACCCGGGACAGTATCACTCAGCATCTCTCTAGAGTTCAGAGCTCAACGCAGGGATGTTCCAGGGCTCTGGGCCTCGGCCCACCCCAAAGTGTTCGTGGGAAGAATGACTCCGAGCAGGGGAGGGTCTGGCATCAGCGCACCAGGCTGGACCCAGGGCAGGGACCCCGCCCTCCGCTTGATCTCCTGGGGGTGCCGCGGCCCAGCGCACCAGCACCGAGCCCCCCCACCAGGAGTCCCTCCCCCGCCCCTGCCGCCGGCACCTGAAGCGCTCCTGGCCTGCGGTGTCCCAGAGCTGCAGCTTGACCCGCGGCCCGGCCCGCAGCTGCAGCGCGTGGCGGTAGCACTCGGCGCCCACCGTGGGCTCGGGCTCGGGCTCGGGCTCCCGGGCGCCAGGCGCGCCCGCCACGTAGCTCCGCAGCAGCGACGTCTTGCCCACCGCCGCGTCCCCCAGCAGCGCGACCCGAAACTGGTAGCGGCAGCCCTCGGTCTCCATGGCCACGTTCCCCGCCCCGCCGCCCCACGGCCGTTTTGTCCACGCCCTGCCCCGCCCCCTGCCCGGGGCCCTGCCGGCGCCGCCCCCCTCTTCCCGCGCCCTGCCCTCGTCCCTGGCGGGGCACCTGGGAACCCGGGACGTCTTCAGCACAGGTGGAGAAGTGCCATTTCCACTCGATCCGAGGGCGTCGGACCGAGTGGAAACACTTGGCCAAGTTTCTCTCTCTCTGAGCCTCACTTGCCTCCTCCGTTAAAGGAGGCTAATGATGACCCCCTACACTTCACTGAAGTATACTAGATGAAGGTGGGGAGCAGAGGGAGGAGGCTAACAGCGCTAAAGCATCCACTTCACTTTCCTCCACTCTCCAGCCCCACCCCGTTATCCGCTCCACCCCGCCCGCTGTGGATTCCCTAGTTGGCCCCCACCCCTCTGCTGCACCCAGGAAGGCCACTCTGGAAGTGGGTGGTTTGTAGGTGCTCCCTCTCCACCCCGAAGCCCTTTCCTGGAGCCCTCATTGGCCCTGGCCTGGGGCCTCTAGTTCCAAGTGCAGGTTCAATGTTCAACAGCCCCCGCGGCTTCCTCCGTGGCTGCGTTGGACACCAGGGCCCCAGAAGGAACTTGGGCAGAGTCTGGTTGAGGAGGCAGGACAGACACACACAACTGCAATTCTATTTATTTATTTATTTATTTATTTATTTATTTTGAGACGGAGTTTCACTCTTGTTACCCAGGCTGGAGTGCGATGGCGCGATCTCGGCTCACCGCAACCTCCGCCCCCTGGGTTCAGGCAATTCTCCTGCCTCAGCCTCCTGAGTAGCTGGGATTACAGGCACGCGCCACCATGCCCAGCTAATTTTTTGTATTTTTAGTAGAGACGGGGTTTCACCATGTTGACCAGGATGGTCTCAATCTCTTGACCTTGTGATCCACCCGCCTCGGCCTCCCAAAGTGCTGGGATTACAGGCTTGAGCCACCGCGCCCGGCCTACAACTGCAATTCTAAAAGGAGTGAAGTTGGCGTGTGGATTTGACAACTAACATATATAAGGCCAAAGGTCAGTTCATGTTTTGTGGGCAGCAACCCTTTGATAGGGCCATGGAGTGCCCCTTTTAGAGCTGAGAAGACAGGTTCAGAGGCATGGCTTGTCCCGGGTCACACAGCAGAGCTGGGGCTCACATTCAGGTTTGTCTCATCCTTCATCACACCCTTGATGCCACAAAAGGGGACAAGGCAGGTCCCATGAGAACTAAGACACTGGTTGAGTCTTGCTTGGGTGAGGGGCTAGGGTAAGGCAGCACATGAGCCACCAAGGTTTACTCCACCCTTTCCAGGCTGGCCTTCTGGAAAACCAGAGCAATGAGCCTGGACTTCCAGCCAGCCCCAGAGAGCAATAAGCCTGGAGTTCCAGCCAGCCCCAGACAGCTCTAGTCTCTCTCGTCTTTTTTTGTTTGTTCGTTTGAGACGGAGTCTCACTCTGTTACCAGGCTAGAGTGCGGTGGCACAATCTTGGCTCACTGCAACCTCCACCTCTTGGGTCCAAGCCATATGCCTACCTCAGCCTCCCAAGTAGCTGGGATTACAGGCCCTACCACCACACCCAGCTAATGTTTGTATTTTTAGTAGAGACCGGGTTTCACCATGTTGCCAGGCCGGCCTCAAACTCCTGACCTCAAGTGATCTGCCTGCCTTGGCCTCCCAAAGTGCAGGGATTACAGGTGTGAGCCACTATGCCTGGCCCACACGCAGTTCTGACCACCTGTGATGTCAGTCTCTCTTCTACCCTGCAGGCTTCTTGAGGGCAGGGACTATGATTGTATCCTTAGGGCCAAACGCGGTGCTTGGCATAAAGTAGAAACTCAAGCTGGCGCATGGCTCACACCTGTAATCCCAGCACTTTTGGAGGCTAAGATGAGCAGATCACTCGAGGTCAGGAGTTTGAGACCAGCCTGGCCAACATGGTGAATGAAACCCTGTATCTACTAAAAATACAAAATTAGGCATGGTGGTGGCCGCCTGTAATTCCAGCTACATGGGAGGCTGAGGTAGGAGAATCGCTTGAACCTGGGAGGTGGAGGTTGTAGTGAGCCGAGATCACACCACTGCACTACAGCCTGGGTGACAAAGCAGGACTCCATCTCAAAACTAAATAAACAAATAAAGTAACTCAGTAAAAATTTATAGCTAGATGAATTAAAGAAAGTGGATAAGTGCTGTTCATTCATCCATTCATTCATTCAAACACCATAATAGAGCTGGAATGAGGAAGCCAAAGGGTCAGAGAAGCCCATCCCAGCTGATATTGAAGCTGGGTCTCCGTGGATACGTGGGATCTGGGAAGGTCAAGCAGAAAGGAGACTCCAGAGAGGCACAAAGTAGCTGGAAATGCAGTCTGACCCCAGCCCTCCCTGAGGCCTTTCCGGTCAGCCCACGTGGGCAGTGCACTGTCAGCATCTGGCTTCTTGAACTTCCTCCCTCTTTCAGATGTTCCTACTGGGATCATGTGTCTGCCTCTGACTGCAATTAAATCCAGATGTCAGCTGACCTCTGCCACAGATTCACTGTGTAATCAGGGGTAAGTTATTTCGCTTCCCTGATCCCTGCTTCCTCTTCATTTAAGTGAGGCAAATCACGGTACCCACCACACAGGGTAAGTTCTGGAGGAGCCTCCAGACACAGCAATTAAGTTTATCTGCTTTTGCATTAGAACAGATCTGAGTTGGGCCCAGGGCGGTGACTCACGCCTGTAATTCCAGCACTTTGGGAGGCTGAAGCGGGTGGATCACGAGGTCAAGAGATCGAGACCATCCTGGCCAACATGATGAAACCCCGTCTCTTAAAAATAACAAAAATTATCTGGGCTTGGTGGCACAAGCCTGTAATCCCAGCTACTCGGGAGGTTGAGGCAGGAGAATTGCTTGAACCTAGGAGGCAGAGGTTGCTGTGAGCCGAGATTGTGCCACTGCACTCGTCTGGCATTCCATCTCAAAAAAAAAGAAAAGAAAAAAAAAGAAAAAGAAAAGAACAGATTTGGATTGTAGTTCCAATGGCCACTTGCTGGTTATATGAACCTGGGCCAAGTTTTATTCATTCATTCATTCACTTGGTGATTATTTCAAGAATGCTGGCCATCTTTTACGTACCAGGCATTTATACAGCAGTAGAGGGGAAAAAAGACAAAATCCCAGCTCTCTTGAGATGCTGACATTCTAATAGCGAAAACAAAATACATACAAAATACCATGTCAGGAAGCATTAAGTGCTATAAATAACAATCAAGCAGGCAGTGACTTGAAGGCTGGAGGATGGCGGGGTTACTGTATCAAAATAGGATGGCCTGAGGAGGTGGCATGTGGACAGAAACCCAGGAGAAGTGAGGCAGTAAGAAGTGTGGGTGTCTGTGATGATATTCAGGTGGGGTGAGTTCCAGGCAAGAGAAGCAGCAAGAGCAAAGGCTCTCGAGTGCTCCAAGAAGAGCAAAGAGTCCAGGGAGATGGAACCGACTGACTGAGGGAGCACATGGTGGGTGATGAGAGCAGTGAGGAGGAGAAGCCTGATTATATGTGGCCTTGGAGACCATTACGGGGATTTCCATTTTTATTCTAAGTGTGTTGGGAAGTCATGGGAGATTTCTGAGCAGGCAAATAACATGACATAAGTGTTTTTTTAGGCTGGGCATGGCGGCTCAGGCCTGTAAGCCCAGCACTTTGGGAGGCCGAGGCAGGAGAACCACCTGAGGTTGGGAGTTCAAGATCAGCCTGACCAACATGGTGAAACCCCATCTCTACTAAAAATACAAAAAATTAGCCGATCTCAGCTCTCGGTAACCTCTGCCTCCCAGGTTCAAGCGATTCTTGTGCTTCAGCCTCCCAAGTAGCTGGGACTATAGATGTGTGCCACCATGCCCAGTTAATTTTTTTTTGTATTTTATTATTATTATTTTAATAATAGAGACAGGGTTTCACCATGTTGGTCAGGCTGGTCTCGAACTCCTGACCTCAGGTGATCCACCCGCCTTGGGCTCCCAAAGTGTTGAGATTACAGACGTGAGCCACCGCGCCCGGCTTTTTTTCTCTTTTTTGTATTTTTAGTAGATAGGGGATTTCGCCATGTTGGCCAGGCTGGTCTCTAGTTCCTGAAGTCAGGTGATCCACCAGCCTTGACCTCCGAAATTGGTAGGATTACAGGCCTGAGCCACTGTACCCCCCCAGCGGATATACATTTTTTCTTATGGGTTTTTGTTTTTTATGAGACCGAGTTCCACTCTTGTTGCCCAGGCTGGAGTGCAATGGTGCAATCTCGGCTCACTGCAACCGCCGCCTCCCGAGTTCAGGCGATTCTCCTGCCTCAGCATCCCGAGTAGCTGGGATTACAGGCGTGCGCCACCGCGCCTGCTAATTTTGTATTTTTAGTAGAGACAGGGTTTCTCCACGTTCGTCAGGCTGGTCTCGAACTCCGTACCTCAGGTGATCCGCCTGCCTCAGCCTCCCGAAGCCACGGCGGGTCGGCTTCCTGCGTGGGCCCGGCGCCTGGTACGGAAAGGTGAAGGCACTTCTTCCCGCCTGGAGGAAAGCCTCTAGCGGTTCGCGCTTCGCGGGCTCGGGCCGGACACGCGCGCGTAAGGCTGGGGAGGTGACGCGCGGACAACGCCAGGGCGAGCGAACTACGACTCCCAGCCAGCTGTGCGCCACGCGCGCGCCCGACCGTCAGGCGGGGCGCGAGGGGCAGCCTATATAAGCCCTTGTCTGCGGAAGCACCACCCTTTCTCCCAGCTGCAGTGCCTGTATGCTGGTTTGTCAACCTGTAGCCCTTTCCTGCTGCCCTGCGCGCCCTCCCCCGCTTAGTCATCGCCGCTACCGGCCCGCACTCGCCGGGACTTTCTCCCAAGGCCTCAGGATGGTAGTGAACGTGGCACGGAGGAGCCGGGCCTTCCCACCCTGTGGGCTTGAGCTCCAGAAGGCTCCCTCGGCCGTGAGAGGGGCCTGGGGTCGCTCCCTTCTCTCGCCTCTGCCTCCGCAAAGCTGCGCTCTGGGCTGACAGGTGAGTGTTGCGGGTAGGCAGTCGGGTGCACGGAAGGGGTGGGGGGCTTGGGAACCGGGCTCCTGGGGGATGTAGGGACGAAGCCCTGGGCCTTAATTTGGGGGAGGCCGCATGCTGGTGTCAGGATGGCCTCTAATGGAATCTGTGACAAGTTACCAGCTAGGTGACTTTGGGGCTGGTGACTACGCAAGAGGCCTCTGGAGGTCACCCTCGTGGACACGGTTTTCAGGGACGGGTTTTAGGCATTCAGACCCTTGTTTGCATCCCAGCTTCTTGCTTTCAGCCTTCCTAAGTGACTAAGCGACCTCCAGTAAGTAAGTTAATCGGTCTAAACCTCTTATCTGTAATAGAGGTATAAAACCGTCCCATTAAGATGAAATGAGAAAAAGCACACCAAAGATTGGCACAGCGTGGTCGGTGGGGCCTGCAGGATGACCGTTGACTTTTGTGGTCTACAGAGTTCCCGGCGTACTTCAGGTAGTAATGATGGACAGGTGAGACCTTAGGTGGCTGCCCTGGGACCTGAATTGCCCCTTGGCCCTTATCGAAGCTGCAGCTGCTTCCGCATAGCTGCTGTGGTCAAAAAGGAGCCCAGAGTGACAGTTTTCCTTGACGGTCGCCGTTCTGTTTGTTGTAACTGATCTGCAACATTTTGGGAAAAGACAGTTCCATTGTATCTGCCATCTTTCAGCTGTAGCCAGAGAGACCTTTATCAAAATGGGCATGTTTCCACAGACCAGCAGAAAGGTTGGGGGGTTGCATGTACAGTTAACCAGCATAACACTCATATTGGGAAAGTCCAGTTGGGATGTGACACAGCTTAACTGATAGCTTAAGGCATCAGTAATAGGGACCAAAGGTTGGTCAGACTTTTATGATTCTGAGAACTAAATGGTGGAAACAGTAAGATTGATCATGGCAATTGTTCTCATTCTGCTGTTCCAGATGAAGACTCTAAGATGACAGAAGTTGATTTTTCTGGTGATCAAGGGCTCCCAGAGCCATGAGAGTGATGAAATGCAACCATTACAGGACCTGGTAGGTTTCTTTTGGAGACTTACTTTGGGGGCTGCCTGGTGGGACAAAACAGCATGTTTCCAAGGGCTGTGGCTGGTTGTAGCCATGGGATCTCCAACTGCATGCAAGAGCAACCTGGAAAGACTTTGACAGCACAGGTCAGTAAATACCTGCAGCTGCCACTCGGCTTTCCTATAGTTTTCAGGACCAGGGCTGGAAGTCTTCCACTTGTCATCTTCATGTAGACGGGTGTGTTGAATCAACTTCTTGGTTTGGAGTTTTTTTTTTTTTTCGACCCAGAGTACTCGGGGCTGGAGGATAAAGTTTTCTATAGATATGGCATCCTTTCTCCAACCCTGGATGGTGTGTTTTTTTTGTGGTGGTGGTGGTGTTTTTGAGCGTCACCCAGGCTGGAGTGCAGTGGCGATCACTGCAACCTCCGCCTCCCGGGTTCAAGTGATTCTCCTGCCTCAACCTCCCTAGTAGCTGCCGGGCTGATTTACAGTTTTCACACTAAGCTTTTTGTTCTACAGGTTGCCCCAAGTTTGCTGGCAGTGTGATACTGAGGAGATCAGCTTTTTTATGGAGCTGTGCTTTAAGGTAAAGTTGATGTGGAACAACACATCAGGAGCTCAGTCCTCCTGTACCCTTTCCCATCAGATCTGAACGTTGGTCTTGGTGGTCGTAAAAGGAGGAAAACTAATACTGAAGCTGCCCTCAATGTTGTAATCTGGTATATAGCATGTGGGCTAGTTTCAAACAGGTTCATAGCTGGTTGGGTCTCTGAAATTGTAAAATGAAGTATAATCTTTGGCTAAGGGAAGGATGCGTGTGAAGCTCTGCAAGTTGGTATAGTAATTGCTGACCTATTACTGCATTTGGGAGGGATCTGTCATAGCTTTCTTGCCTCTTAAGGTTGTGTCATTTTTTTCTTGTAGATTGACGTTACGCATAAAGCTGTCCTTATTTGTGACTATGGACCCTATGGAGTTGGGTAAGTTGGTGACAACCTGAAACTTTCTCACAACTTTGCTTGTAGCTTCAGGTAGTGCTCAACTATCAGGGATCCTGTCCTAAGTACTCAAGCAAATAGAACCATAAGGTTACTCAGGTCTGTCAGTGTTAAGGCCTTTTATTTTTTGAGACAAGATATTCCTGTTTCTCAGGCTTGAGTGCAGTGGTGTGATCTTGGCTCACTGCAACCTTTGCCTCCCAGGTTCAAGTGTTTCTCCTGCCTCAGCCTGCCAAGTAGCTGGAACCATTAAGTATGCACCACCATGCCTGGCTAATTTTGTATTTTTAGTAGAGTTTTGCCATGTTGGCCAGGCTGGTCTTAAACTCCTGACCCCAAGTGATCTGCCTGCCTTGACCTCCCAAAGTGCTGGGATTACAGGTGTGAGCCACTGTGCCAGGCCAGAAAATCTTAGCATTTTAGTAACATTTACATCTGGCCTTCTTTGTGTACCCTGTTAACTGTTCATTACCAGAGGGGCAAATAAATGCTTACATTATGATTTGCCCACCCTAAAATGCATGACCACATGCTCAAAGTTGAAGGCAGCAGAGGGAACGGCTCTGCACTGCAGGCCACAGGGCCTGGTAGCGGCAAATGTGCTGTGGTGGCTGGAGTTCATGATGCATTGTTTGGTAGGACTTCAACTTCTCTCAGCCTCAGGGAGAGCTGGGAAATAGACTGCGGGGTAGAAACAAGGGGTTCCATCTAGCACACGCTGTATTTATTTAGAATGACTGGTCCAAGATGAAACCTAATCTGAGTGGACATCCATGGATGAGAAATGCGGATATGGGACTGAGACCAGCTCCTAGGAAAATGTCTGGGTGCGGGAAATCTGGGAATTACTAACACAATGGCTTACACTTCCTTTTCAGGAGAATATGGGAAGCAGAAGTCAAGACCCTGGTCATTTTAGGTGGGAACAGCGGCGTGTTCTAGGTGGAGACTTTTGTTTTTTTGCTAATGCAAAAAATTATGTAGTGTGCTACTGAACTTAAGAGGTGATCAATAAAAGACTCTAGAAGTATGTTTGTCTTTGTGTATTTTGTAGATACCAAGTCTGGTCTCTCTCAAGCTCAAGCAATCCACCGCCCAAATTGCTGGGGTAATAGGCATGAGCCAGCATGCCTAGCCCTTAAGATCTTTGGATTTTTTTTTTTTTTTTTTTTTTTTTTTTTTTTTTTT